CGTAATCAAATGCCAGTTTACATTGAAAAATAGCACAATATTAAAATTCGATCAAACAATAATGAGAAGCAGTGCCTCTGTTTTACTTCTTAATATGGTAAATATCAATAAATATAATCCATACAAACAAAAGCTCTTTGAGGGTCTTCCATAATTTTTACAAGTGGGTTGCAAGAGGAACAAAAAGTTTAAGAAACTTTGGACAAAGCAATATCATGTTAAGTGCCGTTAAGTAACACCAGCTGCCTGCAATTACTGCAAGTTCAAATCTCACCAGGCTCAAGGTTGACTCAGCCTTCCATCCTTCCAAGGTAGGTAAAATGAGGACCTGGTTTGTGGGGGCTATAAGCTGACTTTGTAAAAAAAAGAACACGGTGGTGGGGGGGGGGGGCGAAAGCCCTACTAAGCAGGTATATACAAAAGTATGAAGGCTATTGCTTAATGCATTGTAAGCCGCCCTGAGTCTCCAGAAAAGGGTGGCATATAAATCGAACCAATAAATAAATAATAAATAAATAAATAAATAAATAATAAATAAATCAAGCCAGCTCTAGAGACCTTTGATTTGCTAGATTTCAACACTCATATTGATAGGGGCATAATCAGGGGGGTCTAAAGGAGGCAGGAGGAGCTCAGCTCCTTAGGCGGCTCTGGTATGTGTGTGGTGTGTGTGTACATATGTGTGCTCGCAGGTGTGTACGTCCACACCTCTTCTCCTTGGTCCAGGTACTCTCCTCCTTTCTCTCCTTATAGCAAAGAAGATGGCAGAACTCCTTATAAGCATGGAGTTGTGTTGGTTTTATGTTGTGTTGTTTTGATGATTTTTATATTTTCTAATTGTTTGGGAGCTGCCAGAGACTAAACTTAGCAAGCACAGTTCTGTTGTAGTCCATCATATGAATCCAGTTGAAGGATGAAGAACAGAAAAACTGAGTCCAGATTTCTTATATTCACCAATACTGGCTGAGTGATGACAAAATGATGATTCCCTCAATCATGCGATGAACATATTTGCACACAAAGGGAGATGGGACACAAATAAGGAATGTGGTGGCTCAGTGGCTAAGACGCTGAGCTTGTCGATCGAAAGGTTGGCAGTTCAGTGGTTCGAATCCCTAGTGCTACATAACGGGGTGAGCTCCCGTTACTTATTCCAGCTTCTGCCAACCTAGCAATTCGAAAGCACGTAAAAAATGCAAGTAGAAAAATAGGAACCACCTTTGGTGGGAAGGTAACAGCATTCCGTGTGCCTTTGGCATTTAGTCATGCCGGCCACATGACCATGGAGATGTCTTTGGACAGCGCTGGGTCTTCAGCTTTGAAATGGAGATGAGCACCACCCCCTAGAGTCAGGAACGATTAGCACATATGTGCGAGGGGAATCTTTACTTTTACCTAAGGGAGAAGCAGGCCACCTTTTATAATCCAATAATTTCAAGAAATGGAGTGAGTATAGGCCCCAAACTGCTGCCAGAACAGGCAAAGCTATTGGTAAATTGAGATAAACTGGTAGTCTGCCCAGGACGTTTACTACCCCAAAGGGATATTTTGGGGACTTAAAAGCATCACTGCAAATAAATGTACTAGAAGCTTGGATTTTACTTTGCAGCATACCAACTTCAGATTTTTTAAAAATAGAACCTTTTAAAAAGTCAGGGCAATGAATTACCAACTAATAAGCATCCTAGCACCGCTCTTCTAGCTACCACAGAAATTCTCAGGCTGTAAAGTCCTTTATTCTCGAGTTCCTTCTGCCACCTAGCTTCCAAAGGGAAACACTAAAGATTTAAGAAATCTCCGAATCGCATTTAATGTCAGTGCAGCGCTGGCATTCCTAGGATTATGAACCCAGCATCCCTTGGATGCAGAATATTTACTGCCATGGATAAGAGACGTCTCCTTTTCCCTGGTTTTAAATTACAACAGTGATTTGAGCATCTTAATGCATTTGTACTGAATACCAATTCTGTTGTTGAAAATAATTCTCAAACTACAGGAAGAAGTGAGGTTGCTGGGCCAAGTGGTCCTTAAAATGGGGGCGTTCTCATCTTCCAGAATGCCCCTAGGCCCAGATGCTTCAGAGGCAAAATAAAAAATAACTGTAGCAGAGAATGGACAGAATGCAACCTTGCAGCTCTTTTATAGTCCTGCAAACGATTGCCATTTCTCCTTTTTTCCTCCAGCAAGTCTCTGCCTCTCCCCTTCATTCACTGGTCCCTTGTGTTTGGCTGACTTCAGTTGATGTTGAAAAGGCAAGCAGAGATTGGCTGGGTTCCACCTTGGATGGGTGACCACTAGAAAATCCTCAGGTTGTGATCCAAGAGTTGAAAGAATGCAGCAATAAAAACACAAGCTCACACCCTGTGTGTGAAAAAAACCCCCAAAACTACAGGGAGACCGACTTCTGCCACCAATAGCCTCCCACCGACCAGTCCGCTCCCACAGAGGGTCTCCTCAGGGTGCCATCGGCCAAGTTATGTCGGCTGGCGACACCCAGGGGGAGAGCCTTCTCTGTGGGAGCCCCAGCCCTGTGGAATGAACTGCCCCCGGAAATACGTAAGATCTCCGACCTCCGGGTGTTTCGCTGCGCTCTGAAGACCCTGTTGTTCCGCCAGGCCGGGCTATTAACATAACGTTTTAAATTGGGGTATTTTAAATTTCTGGGATTTTAAATTGGAGCCTAATTATTTAATGATTTTAAATTTTAATTGTTTTGTTTCTGTGTTTTTAAATAGGCTGTACACCGCCCTGAGTCCTTCGGGAGAAGGGCTGTATAGAAATAAAATTATTATTATTATTATTATTATTATTATTATTATTATTATTATTATTATTATTATTATTGAGAAGTCACCAGGAGGTCAGCTTGATTCCAAGGAGACTTGACCTTGAACCTTCCTCTGCAGGTCTTTTCCTCCTTTCTCAAAAGACACTGTCCCCCTTCCCTCGCTTTTGGCCCCCAAGACCTGGAACGCTTGCAAGAAGTCATCTCAGTTGCCGCTGCCAGATTCTTCCTGACTCACCTTTTCCCATAGCAAAACCACATATCTTATCCTGGTTGGACCTGATGGAAATGAGTAACCCAAAGATCTGGTGGGCATCATTCTCATCCAAGTGGTGCCTGTCTCTTTAGGATAGGTCCATCTTGTCCAAAAAGGGTTCCAAGCTCCTCATGGTCTAATCCCCCAGGTGCACCACCATGGTCTAGCCCTCCATGGCTGCACCTGAGTTCTGCCAGCAAGTCTGCCACCATGTGCCACCAGTACTTCCGCATTTGTCCTAGCTGAATTTCTCTAGGTTCCCAGACACAAAATTTGCCTTCCAGGCTAAGCTGGTGACATTCATCCATCTCTTGGCTATCAGTGCACCACCACCTCTGCCTGGCACCCAATCTTCACACCATCCAGGACCAGGCTTTGTAATGCTCGTGACCCCTCCAAGGAGGAGCAACTTCAGCATGGCTGTGTCACCCAGAATTGGGACAGGAACAGCCACACAGATGTCATCTGAGTGCAAAAAGACCTACAAAAGGATGTTATCTTTGCAGCTCTTACAAAGGAATCAGCTACCTTTGCCAGAGACTCACATGGGTGTCAAAAAGTCAGGATGGAGGCCATGATCTTCTGATTAAATAGAAGATAACACGCCCACTCCATTATATACCTCTGCCCACCTTAGTACTGTTCTGCTTATCTTAATGTGATATTTATTGCCCTAGCCTAGTGTTTTAATCTTTAATGATATTGTTTTATCGGATTTTAAGCCGCCTAGGGTCACATGATGGGGAAATGGGTGGCATATAAATGTAAGAAATCAATAAAAAATACTTCTGAAGGACATCGTGTTCTGTGCTGCGGGGGGAGGGAGTTTTGCGGGGTCTCACACACATATACACCCCCCCCCAACCCTTGTTTGCGCCCACCGGCGATTCTGCCGCCCTTCGACTGAGAGGGAGACGCTCCCTCCATCCCCCAAGGAGGGTCGCCTGGTTCCCACAAAGCACAAAGCCGCAACTTGACCCTCGAGGGGCAGTTGGCCAACACCCCGAGCAGCGTTTCCTTGCCGCTGCCTGTCCAAGTGGTGGTTTTCTTTCCATTGGCCCCGAAATGTGCGCTTCCTTTCCCGATTCGAAGGAAAAGCCTCGCCTTCTGCTCGCGCCTGGCGCTTCGGTCCCAGGAGTGAGAAAGAGCAGAGGCGGCGAAAGCTCTTTGGGCCTCTCTCGCTCGGCTTCCTCGCTCTCGGCTACCGCGACGGCCTCGGGAGTCCGAACTGGGCGCCAAGAGCAGCCCGGCTGGGCGCTTGGCGACCCTCTTCCCGCGTTGGACGGTGAAGGTAGGCAGAGGGCGGCGAAGCGGCTGAGCGGGCGAGTAGAGCGATTCCTGCTGGAGAAAGTGGGGAATCGGCGGCGGCGGGAGCAGCGATTGGCGTCCGCTTCCGCTAGGAGGTGCTGCGGGAGTGGCGAAATGCAATGCGGGAAACAGGGCGAACCGAACGGGGAACCCGGCTGGTGGGGGGGGGGGGAGCAACCTTGGCGACCCCCCATCGCCCCCCCCACCCCTAAAACAAACAAACAAAAAAAGGGTCGTAAAAGGTGCTTTTGTGGGAGGGGGGAGCAAAAGAGTCTGGGTCTCGCTGTCTTGCTCAGGCTACGCTGCAGCGGCTATTCACAGGCGCTATCCCACTACTGATCGGCACGGGAGTTTTGACCTGCTCCGTCTCCGACCTGGGCCGATTCACCCCTCCTTAGGCAACCTGGTGGCCCTCGGCTCCCCGGGGATCACCATATTGATGCCGAACTTAGTGCGGACACCCGATCGGCATAGCCCACTGCAGCCCAGAACTCCTGAGCTCAAGCGATCCGCCAGCCTCAGCCTCCGGAGTAGCTGGATTACAGGCTCGCGCCACCGCGCCCGGCTGCTGCTGCCGCCCGCCCGAGTTTACTTAGAGAGGATTCGCTCCGTGACGTCACCCGAGGGTGGGAGGGCAGCGCCCGCCTCGCTCCTCCCCCTCCCTCCCTTCCTCTGCGCCTGCGCCGTTCGCCCTTTCCTTTCTTCTCGGCAGTCCGAGACACGCGACCGCCGCCATGGGACACCAGCAGCTCTACTGGAGCCACCCCAGGAAGTTCGGCCAGGGATCGCGCTCCTGGTAGGGCTCCCGACCTCCCGCTCGCCCCCTGCTCGGCCTCCGACCGGCCCGGCGACAACCCCGCCTGGCCCACCCCGGACTCTCTGCCCCGGGGGCAGCCGGGCCTGGCAGCCGCAGGAAGTGGGGAAGCGCCCGGCACCCGCGAGGGAGGGGAGAGGGAGAGGGAGGGGAAGAGGAGAGGGAGGGGAGGGGAAGAGGGGAGGGAGAGGGAGGGGAGAGGGGAGGAGAGGGAGGGGAGAGGGAGAGGGAGGGGAGGGGAAGAGGAGAGGGAGGGGAGAGGAGAGGGAGGGGAGAGGAGAGGGAGGGGAGAGGGAGGGGAGAGGAGAGGGAGGGGAGAGGGAGAGGGGGAGCGGAGAGGGAGAGGAGAGGGGAGGGGAGCGGAGAGGGAGAGGGGAGGGGAGGGGAGAGGGAGAGGGAGGGGAGAGGGAGAAGGGGGCACCCGGGAGCAGAGAGGGGAGAGTGCGGGAGGTTGGTGCTTCTGGGACGAGGGGAGCCGGGAAGCGTCTGGGCCCGCCTCACCCGGCCTCTCTTCCTCTCTTCCGCAGCCGCGTGTGCTCCAACCGGCACGGACTCATCCGCAAGTACGGCCTCAACATGTGTCGCCAGTGCTTCCGCCAGTACGCCAAGGACATCGGCTTCATTAAGGTGAGTTTTCAATGGAACAGCTTTCCTCCCTGAGCTGTGGCTTCTCCCGACACTGAAGGCTTTCAGAAATACCACTTGACCGGCATGGTATCAGGTCTCTTGCTTTGAACAGGGGCTGGACTAGATGACCTCCGAGGTCCCTTCAAGCTCTGGGATTTTATGTTCATGCACTTCTGGAAGGGTCCGCTGTTGTCGGTTGCCCCGCAATGCCCAGGACTCCTCATCACTATCCTGACACCCAAGGGCTGTTAAAAATATGATGGAAAAAGTAATGTACAGGTAGTCCTCGACATACAACAGTTCGTTTACTGACCGTTCAGTTGCAAAGCCATAGAAAAATGCGACTTATGATCATTTTTCAGTTAATGATCTTTACAGCATCCCCCATGATCATCTGATCAAAATTCATATGCTTCACAGCTGCCTAATATTTACCATTGCTGTGTCCCAAGGTCATGTGATTCCCCTTTGCAACCTTCTGACAAGCAGTGTAAATGGGGAAGCCAGATTCACTTAACAACCAGGTTACCTACTTACCAACTGTAGTGATTCAGTTAACAACTGTTTGGAGAACGGTTGTAAAATAGGGCAAAACTCATTTAACAAATGTCTCAATGCCAGAAATTTTGGACTCGGTTGTGGTTGTAAGTCGAGGACTGCCTGTATTGTAAAAGTTCAAGTGAGCACAGATAACAAGAAAAGATGTAGAATTGTAACTTCCGAAGAAGGAATATTAAATGTGATTATTTCTTTTATCTCCGTTTAGTTGGATTAATTCTACAGTAATAGTTGAAGATGGCTTGAAAAGACATAGCAAGAAGTTGGCACACCTGAGGACTGGACTGGATAAGAGCCGTCAAGACTTCTACTGTGCAACTGTATACAATAGAAGTACTGGGCTTTTATTCCAATTATGGTAGTGTTTCCTATTAATAAGTTACAATCACCATAATTCTAGCCATGTTGACATGTCATCTGTAGCATATGTATGAGAATCTATTTTTTGGAGTTTTTAAATAAAAAAAAAGAGTTAAAATCCAAAGTTGTGTTGCTGAATGAATCTGTGACCTAAGGGGCATAAAATAAAGATAACTGGATATAGTAGTATTAGAAGTTTTTAAAATCAAAATCTGAAAATCAAGTGTAAACTCACTATCCCCATTGGTTTATCCCTAAAAGTTTGCTTCAGTGTGAATGAAATGTCGCTGCATTGGGTTGAATTCCTTATGTACAAATATTTGTAATTTTTACTTGTCTCATAACTAATAATTCTTCTAGAGATAATGCACCATTTTTCCTGTTTTGTTTTTGTTCATGGCCATTATCAATTTAAACTGTCTTAATAATGATGAACTGTATACTTGTCCACCATGTTTCGATTTAGCGTAGTATGAGTATCTAACATGTATGGTTAATGTATGGTTTAGTAAGTGTATTGCACCAGTACTTATAAACTCTAGGGACTTTTGTGTCATCTGCACCCTATTGCTAACCTATGGATAGAAGTTTATCCAACTCACTGTCAGCCTATTTAATGTTTTTATACAACCTGGTAGAAACCTTTATTTCTCCTGAGGATGTTACTTGAGTTCAGGTAATTGGCTGCTGTGTTGGAAATAGAGTATTGTTCAGCCAGGATGAAAGAAACAAAGCCATACTCTTAATTCTTTAAGAAAGGAACAAATGATAATGGTTCACTAGCTTGCATTAATCTGATTTCAAATGACATATTGGAATGTAGTTCAACTAACAAAAATTAAACCATGGTTATATGGTGGCATGACATGCTAACTCAGGATTAATTTAAATATCACAACTGTTATACAAACCCTGCAAATTGAGTTAAGTATAAACTAACTGTCTTGCATAGGGTTGCAGAACATGTCAGATTAAAATGTGATTTGTTGGTGGGTTGTGAACCCAGCCATTGATTTAAGTTTTCAGCTTAGTCTGATTTATGATTTGGATTTAAACACTACAGTAAGCAAATCACAGTATGATTTAGTGCAAAGTTGATGAATTTAAGATTAAGAACATGGGGGGGGGGTACAACCCCCAATCTTCTAATGGTTATTATCAAAATGCACCTGTTCTTGTGAACTATTTCTCTTAGCTTTTGATTTTTAAAATTGATAATTTTTTATGCTTTCACATAATGCATTCAAGCAGTGATACTTTAAAGTGGAGCCCCACAATGAAAAGGGAGATGATTTGGCTGGCAAAATAACAGTTTCCTTTCAATTTCATGCTCCCTTAACTATTTGTTCCTGTGTCATACCAGCTGCACACACAATATAAAATAACTGAAAAATGTTCAGGAGATTCTCGACTTCCTATTTATATTATCTGCTGATGAATCATTCATGACAATAAAAAAACCTGTGGGGCATTATTTATCAAACCACAACTGCATCTACTTTTGCCACTCCTGTCACTGTTCAGGCTTTTAGTATATATTGTATCCCTTTTATCTCAAAAAATGCAAATGAACTTGGACATATTTCTGGAGTGGAGAAAAAGAAACAGCATAAATATCTTAAAATTTGTGTAAGCAGGAATGATGCCTCTAATTCCATATAAGTTCTATTTATAATTATTTTATTTTTTATACCCATGAGCTTTCACAGCACCATCATAAAACAACCCATTTAAAATCATGTTCCTCCTTAAATAATGAACATCCTAGAGCTTTGCATCCAGAGCAAAGTCATGTTCCATAAGGGAGTGAGGCAGCTAATTGCGAATGTCTTTGTACAGAAAGTCATGACAAAGTTAAGAGAATTCTATATCTTCCCAGTCCAAACATTCAGTCATTGAAAACCTGTCAGTACCAGACCAGAGAGTTGTGGCTTTAGAAGCCTCCATCTCCTTCTGCAATCCTTCACTTCATCAAAACCATCAGAAGCCCAAAGAGATTCTTATGGCTGGCACATCAATTGAGTACTCCCAATTTCCCCCAAGTGTCCTTTCATAATCCAGTTTTTTACCTGGTTTTCTCTCGTGACATTGTAGTGAGGCTTCAGCTCATACTAAAATGCTCCCCACTTTTCCCTTTTACAGAATGAATTTTATGATGCTTATTAAGGGCCCCCTTCTGAATAAAGCTTTTCCCACAATCTGAGCATTCAAATGGTTTCTCCCCAGTGTGGATCTTCTGATGTCGGTTAAGATTTGAACTGCTACTGAATCTTCTCCCACAGAAAGGACATTTGTGCGGTTTCTCTCCTGTGTGGACTCTTTGATGACGGTAAAGTAATGAACTGGACTGGAAGGTTTTGCCACAAGCCGCACATTCATATGGCTTCTCCCCGGTGTGCGTCCTCTGGTGAATGATGAGCTTCGAGCTAGAAAGAAAGAATTTCCCACAGACCAAGCACTTATGTGCTTTTCCTCCTGTATGACGGTTCTTAACCACTGTGGAAACCCGATTCAAATTTCTGCCATAAGCTCGGGACGTATTTTGCTTCTTACCAGTGTCATTTCCTGCCTGGATTGTGGCTACAATGATAGCTTTGTAGTCTCCCACATATGGGACAGATGCATCAACTTGACCTGCCAAAGTGCTCTGTTGACATTCCAGTCTCTCCTGATTAGTTGAAGCCTTTTCCTGCACACAACAGCTCGGAGGAACAATCTCTTCTGCTTTCCAGAGAGACACCTCACAAGGCCCTTCTTTTGTAGGCTCTTCAGCCACATCTGACTCTATCTTGTGTATAGTCATCCAGTCCTTACCTGCTGGAGAAATTAAGAAAACTCCAATGACTCACTCATTGAACTTGAGAAAAACCTAACTTGAAAACAAAAATTATAGAAAGTTAAGAAAAACTAGCTTCTCTCTAAGATCTCATTCAGAAGTAAAAATGGAAAGACATCACTGAAGAAGCCTGGTGTTTGCTTATTTCTAACAACCTCCTATTGAGCAAAATCGAACAGACAGTGCTAGGATCCTAGTTTAACGCATATATTTATGAGCCAAATTTAATATCTCACAATGCTTCTCCCATAGAACCATGTTTCCCTGATTCCTTGTCATGTTTCAACTTCTCATGTTCAAATCCAAGGCAACCCATGCTCTCCTGGGGGGCAGGTATTGAAAGGGACTTGCTGGCATCCTATATGAGGAAGAATCTCACAATTGACATGTTTACCTTTACTGAGCCCAAGTGAGAAGCCTGTTGGCTCACATGCAGCCTCTCAATTCTTTTTTTAATGACCCCAGAGGCTCCTTGGATCACACCACTGAATAAATCACTGTGGCTTCCTACTTTTTGAGGCATGAAGGACTCATGCAAGTAGCCAATAAACCTGAAAAATGCTGAACACTTAAAATCAAAATGAAGAATCCTCTCAATAAGGAAAAACAAAAAGACAGAAAAACCTCTGTTTATGTGCATGGTACATCACTATCCTGCCCAAGAGTACATCTGCCAGAAAAAATAAAATTCAGTTCTTGAACATTTTGTAACTACTGTGTTTACCTGAAAATAAGACCAGGTCTTATATTAATTTTTGCTTCAAAAGATGCATTAGGGCTTATTTTCTGGTTAGGCCTTATTTTCGGGGAAATACAGTACTAAATGCATCCATCTGCCTGACAATCTTAATTGGGGCTTATTTTTGGGGTAGGGCTTATATTACAAGCATCCTGAAAAATCATGTTAGGACTTATTTTCCGGTTGGATCTTATTTTTGGGGAAACAGTATAAAGAACTGGATTAAGAAACAAGGTTTTCCAGGACTTCAGGGTTTCTACCTCCAAATGTTGAGACCCACTTCCTCTGACAGGCAACTTTGACTATCTCCTCAATTCTTTTTCACAGTGGTCAAACCTCCCTCTATTCCATATCAGCCTATGGCCTCTCAGTACTGATGGAAGATGGTACCATTGAAGGCTAACAGCCAAGATGGATAGGTATCTATTTAATGCAGAGTGGGAAGTATTCAGAACAATCTGGTGCTCTTAAGGCCACACAGAATGCTTTGAAGTGTGTTTCCAACCTCATTTGGAAGACTGCGTAGAAAAGGAAACAATTCCAAGAGAAAAAAGTTGTAGGATCATCTGCCAAACCTCAAGACCATTCCTTAGCTTTTCTCCTACATCATCCTTTTCTGAGAAAGTGATATACAAGTCACTAAATGTCAAATCTTTATAGTAACAGGATTGGAGAAGAACAGCCAAGGAACAATCTCTATAATCTCAAATTAATATGGTTTATTAGGAAGAGGTTGAAATAGGAGCACAATAATTCTGGCAAGTAAACTTGCTGTCAAATATGGAGGGTAAATATAGACAATTCAAAGATGTTAGATTCTCCCAGTGTAACAAGGAAGGCACCACTCTCTTCTGAGAAGACAGTCCAGGCTATACTTTAGTTCAATATACTTAGTAGTTCCTACCTATATTATCAGTGTGGGAATCTTCTCTTACATCAAGCTCTCTGAAAAGAAACATTATCAGAAAGTACTCCAACAGGGATTCAGATTCAAGACATTCTTCCTTACCAAATGGGCCAGCATCATACTCATTTTCCAGCTTAGATGCTTTGTAGAGCTGCTTCTGTTCAGTATCAGCTGCAGCACATTCTGCCTCAGAGAAATTCACAGCCACTTTCGCAAAAGCGTCCTGCAACAAAAACAATTTGTGTAGGACCAATATTTTTCAACCTGTTGTGGTCCACCAGCAGCCTGCAGAGCTGGCAGCGGAGTCGGACAGCGATGAGGCTGAGGAAGAACATGGGCCAATCCTGGAGGCTGGGGAAGGCCCAGATGAGGGTTCTGCGTCAGAGGCAGAGATGGGGCCAGGGCCATCGGGGAGTGAGGTGCAGAGTCCAGAGCCTCCAGAGACTGATAGGAGTGAGGCAGAGGAACAGGAGGAGCCTGTTTCTAATGCACGCATGAGAAGAGCTGCCAGAAGGCAAGAGCAGCTCAAGCAAAGAGGACAACTCGGGACTAGGGCCAAGAGATGATTGGCCCCTCCCATAAGGAAGGGGGGCAGCAGTCGACCCCGAGGCGCCTTGTTTGTGGGGTGCCGCAAGGGTCGGT